TAACCTTCTTAGATAGAGATAGACTTTGAATATAACTCTTCAAGAAGATTCTTTCCAACTTCACTTCCAACTCTTTGAAATCTCCTAATGCAAGGCAACCTTTAATGTACCTTATCAAAGAAGACTCTTTTTTTTTTTATGCCGTCTTAATTTTTTTTTTCATGGCTATATATATATATTTTGTAATGTAGGGGCGGCCGAGAGAACCCTAGACTCAACAATTTTTTTTTTCTTTTGTACGGCCAAATTCAAAGAAACACCTTCAACACAAAAGCTCCTCCAACAATGAATGAATGAACATCAATCACCCTCAAGATATAGAGATCTTGGATCGAGAGATATATATCAATCACAATCACCAAAGTTTGCTATTGGATGATAAACAAAACGAAAGGCACGAAACTAAAAGGAATTGTCCAAGTGGTGAACAACTCAAAAATAAAATATTACGAATACCCTCTTTTGGGAGAGGAAAATTCGAAAAAAAAAACAAGAAACAAGAAAGAACAAAAATCCGAATTCTGAGACCAATTATGGTAACCAAAGATGACTCTCGATATACCAATTATGGCTCTAAATATGCCAACTATGGTAAAACCATAAGAAGGCTCTGATAACCAAAAAATATGATAGCAATCCGTGACAAAACCAATCTTTAAGGAAAGAACAACTTTGCTAATTCGGAAAGACAGAGATTTGTAGGCAGCGGAATTTGGAGAATTCAGATTTAAAGACTCAAAAACACACAAAAAAACAACAAAAGAAAAGATATTTGATCTCACGTGGATCAATTCACGAGTTCAATGGTAGAACAACCCAAATCAAGAATGAAGAGAGCTATTTCTAACCAAGCAGAGACCCCTTAGAAAATTGTGTAGGAAAACCCAATAGATATGAGATCTATGAGCTCAAATACCAAGATTCGAAAGATCCAATGCTAAAGACGCCACTATCAAGTGAACTAAACAAGATAGATAAGTCTAACAATTGTCACAACACATATGCAACAACTAAACAAAGAAGTCCTCACAAGAATTCCACGAAAGGAATAAAATCCTAACCAATTTCACTCAGGAAAATATCAATGACACAAGGTGTGTTGGAGAAGAGAATTTCGGTCCCTATTTATAGAGGGGGAAATTTCTTCCCAAGAAGTAGAAGAAGAACACAACTCTTCACCTCTATTCCTATCTCTAAAAATTTGAAACGAAATCAAACTCTAAAGACTCCTAGTTATCTTAAGTGATGAGATAATGAACCTAGACACTTTTACTAGTCTTAAAACATTTAAGACTTGTAGGAATTAATTAAAACTCAAAATACAAAGAGATAATCTCTTAGAAAGATTCCAATGGATAGAATCTCCCTTGAGTTAAAACTCTATCATCATCTTCTTTGTAGAGTGATCTTAGCCATCCATCTTGATGTAGTCTTCATCCAACGGTTGAGTAGACATCAAAAGTTGACTCCTTATTATAGGAAACTTGAAAACAGGGTAAAGGAATCATCCCAAATATTATCCTTTAAAGAGATAAAGTCTTATCTTTCAAAGAGATAAAATTTGAATGATCTCACCCCTAAATGTTAGGGATTAATTCGAACAACATGAGGAGTTGTGGCCGGCGGTCCTTCTTGGATTGAGGGCCGAAAATCCTTCTCTCCAAATGGGCCAAATCCATTTGGTGTAATTTGCAACAAATTAATAGTCTTGGGCTTGTAATCTTCAAGCTTAATTTCCTCCTTAGCCCATGTAGTAGTAATTAGACTATTGAGTGATTCATCCATCCTCTTGCGTCTAGCACGAGTCATTGGTCCAACAATATTTGAGAGTGGATCACGGATGTAAGGATTATTCTTTAAAGCAGCATCTTTAGATCCTCCATTAGTATTCACGATCTCAACTTGCTCGTCCTCTCCATTATTGGCACCAACATGTCCCTCTCTATTAGTGTTAGCTAGATGGTCTCCATCAGTCCTGGTGTTGGATTTGAAGGTGGCGATTTTAATCAGCTGATGAAGATTTTTTGGGATAGGAAGGAAACTGAAGAAGATTTCTTCTTTGATTTTGACTGTGATGAGCAGGGTAGGCTGTGTACTTTCTTCTGGATGGATGGAAGAATGCGAAAGGATTATGATTTGTTTGGTGACTTGCTTGTGTTTGATACGACGTATCAAACAAACAGATATGGAATGATCTGTGCTCTGTTTCTTGGTATGGATAATCATAATAAGAATGTCATGTTTGGTTGTGGTTTTGTGTTAAACGAGAAAGAACCCTCTTTTGGTTGGTTGTTCAAGCAGTTTTTGAAATCAATGGGAGATAAGCAGCCACAAACCATAATGACAGATCAAGCACCTTCCATTGCTGCAAGTATTCGGACATGTTTTCCAAGTTCTCGGCATCGTCTCTGTGTATGGCACATAGGTGAAAATTCAAGAAAGCGAATTGGTCATTTAAGGAACAAGCCAGATTTTGTTAAGAACTTTAATTATCTGATGAAATACACTTCAACAGAAATCGAGTTCGAGGTATTATGGAAGAGGTCAGTTTGTCAATATTTTATATTTTGATCATTGCCATGATTAAGAGTGTCTCTTATTTTTCTTGTTGTGTGGGTATGTGTTAGTGGTCATGCATAATGTATGGACAAGAAGCCGCATAGAAGCACAACTAAAAAAAGGCATGGATAATTAGTTTACACATTGTGGATAACCAACAATTATGGCTGGATAACTAGTTACAGATTTTGGATAACCAGCAATTATGGCTGGATAACTAGTTTACACATTGTGGATAACCAGCAATTATGGCTAGATAACTAGTTTACATATTGTGGATAACCAGCTTTTGGATAATCTGTAAATGATTACTGGATAAGCAGTAGAAAGCCTAAGGATATACATGTTTCTTTGTGGATCTATATGAATAATCTAACTATTTTTCTTTTTATGCATGTGTTTTATATTGTTGTGCACAGATTATTGGATGAGTATGATTGTCATAATGACAAATGGCTCAATGGTATTTATGATGTGAGGCATATGTGGTGCCCTGCATTTAGCAAAGATGTTTTTTTTCTGGTGGTACCTTGTCTTCACAGAGGAGCGAGTCAACAAATAATGCAATTTGTCGTAAAATGAAGGCCACATCATCGCTTTGTGATTTCCATGGAATTTTCTCTGATGTTGTACACTGTTGGCGGGTAGCTGTGAGGGGTGAAGATCTACGATGTAGCCAGGGAAACATCGATTTATATCTTCCTGATGACCCTTTCCTGGAGAGCATTCACAGAGTGTACACAGTTGAAGCATTTAGGGAGGTTCAGTAGTTGCACAAATATGGGATGTTGTGCAGGCAGGAGCAGTTAGAGGTTCAAATGATGGAAATATTGTGACGTACAATGTTTGGCGGTTTGGGATAGAGCACTTTAAGCATGTGGTTGTACATGACACTAAGTTACAGAGATTCTCATGCACATGCAGGTACTACTCTGAGGCGGGCATGCTTTGTTGCCACATTTTTTGAATCTGTCATGTAACCTCTGTTGATGAGTTTTCTAAAGATTATATACGTATGAGATGGACAAAAGGTTATGGTGCCAGGTCAAGCATAGCTAATGAGGGAGATGGAAAAGCTGCTGGGCCATTGCTGTAGAAGGCTCTAATTATGAGACGATTTTCAGACTTGGTGTATGCAAGTGAATATAACAAAGATGCAAAGAGATGTTGTGACGAGGCGGTTGACAGGCTTAAAGAAGAACTCGCCAGTTTCATTGGTTCGAATAATAATGATGAGTCTATAGACAATGATGGTGTTATAAAGAATCCGGCTGTAAAGAGGAAGAAGTTTGGTCCCAGGAACGAACGTCCTAAAAGCATTGTTGAGAAGGCATGTAACAAAGTTAGAGGCAGGAAAACAAATGCAAGAATTGCTGCTGACCGAACAAGAGCTTCAGTTGTATCAGACCTGTATTATCAAAGCATGCCATTTCCTTATCCAAACGGAGCTGCTCAAGATTTTTCAGGCTCAGGAAGTTTTGCTGCTGTGAATGCTTCCCATCAAAGCATGCCATCTTTGAACGTAAATTCTGGTGGATTCTCATTTACTAATCCAAGTGTAGCTGCCCAGGATTTTTCAGGGGCAGGGGCTTCCACTTCTGTGAATGCTTCTCATCAAAGCATGCCATTCATCAACAAAAATTCCGATGGATTCTCATTTCCCATTCCCAAGGGAGCTGGCCAGGAGTTTCAAGACGCAAGCACTTCTGCTGCTGTGAATGCTTCTCATCAAAACATGACATTCATGAATCAAAACTTTGGTGGGTTCTCATTTCCTAACCGAAGGGAAGCTGCTAGGGAGGCCGGAGTGCAGCGTTTCTTCAACAAGATGTTTTATTAGTATTTTTACTTGATGTTGAAATGAACAGTATTGATGGTGTAAAGATTTTTATTTAAAAAGTATGATTTATTTTAAATTGCAGTATTATCCAACCAGTTTGAACTGGTTATCCAACTTATTTGTACTGGATATCCACCCATTTGGTTTGTATGCCTATCAAACTTATTTGTACTAGATATCCCACTTGTTTGTACTGGATATCCATTTCGTTTGTACTGGATGTCCAACTCGTCTATATTGGATATCCAACTCGCCTGTACCGGATATGCAACTTTAAATGCATATAGATATTACAAAAAAGACATGAACACGTTGAACACGCTTTCTTCACAAATAATATCATTGGATAACCAGCATAGATAATGTGGATAGTTAGTACAAAGTCCTGGGATAACCAGTATAAGATCAATAGACAATTATTTTCAGTAATAAGTTAACAAGGGAAAGATAATTTTTTTTAAAGAAAAAAAAATCCTAAAAGTGTGTTAATGTCTCCCAGAAGTAACATGCTGTAATGATGAAATTAGTTTCTAGATCCGGCGATGTACTTGAGTGTATGATTTTCCTGGTAGGAACACTATACAACAGCAAATGTCGATTATCATATCCTTTGAAATTGAACTGTCCCTGGAGATGATTTGTGGCTTAGAAATACTGGATAAAGCCAATCATGGTGGAACTGTAATCCGTGTGGAACCTGTGTGTTCACATTTGGGAATTCATGGGTCTCGAACATGCAATCCCATGTGGAAGTATCTGGATCCCATGCCCACATCTGACAGTGATGATTCTGAGTAATGTGGTACTCATCTATTACACACAAAGTCCCCTGGAAGTCCAATATTTTCACTTGGAGATTCATATGATAAGGATCAGTGGGGTTAAAGAAGATTGGAGATGGAGGGCAGTTTATGGTTTGGAATTGTTGAGTGTGGTAGTCAAACACGACCAGCAACTCTTGAGGTGTTGCTATTTCAGAGGATAGTTTGTCTACACGCCAGTACACGAATCTGTCAAACCAGGTTCCATCAGATACAAGGCGAGGACATACATTGCAAAGTGTTTTCCATTCCCCTCTATGAATACTTGAACAACTTTGAAAAGAAAAAATGCAGCCTTGCATGTTTTTTCCATTGGCAATAAGGGCCATGAAAACATAAGTTTTTGAGGATGATACGTACCCAAATGCTGTTTCACAATTGCTGAGAGGGACATCATATGGCCATTCAATTGATGCAAGTTGTGTTGTCTTTGGGTTCAAGAATTTGATTTGAGACCTGGTTTGCAGACAGACCAAATCTGTGGTGATAGGCATGATTTTATGGATGTCGTCGTCACCCATCGACATCTCTTCTTGCAATCATATGTGGTTGCATGGGTTATCCATTTGCACTTTTATGTTGGTGGTGATTAGTTTGTCTTGCAACAGGTAACTTTCTTGGCTTGTTTGAGTGAAAACAAGGATGTTGTTTTCAGTTGCAGGGTAGCTCATCTCACGTTTTTGAAGAACAAATTCTTGTCTTTTCGTCATTTGCTCCCAAGCTTTGCCGACATGACGAAACTCACCAATTTTTTCCAATGTCAGATTAATGAACATATTATCAAGCATATCGTGATGGATATATTCAGGGTGGTTGTTCTTTTCTTGCTTTGCTTGCCTGGGGGACATTCGTTTGGTAGTGGAATTTGAGGAAAATTTTTCGTTTTTCATTTTTTTCTGGCTGTTGGATGTTTTGGATGCTCAAATCAGGCGTTCTGGTGTATGTGCAGATGAGGGAGTTTTATGGATGTTTTGCAGGTAGTTTTTTTTTTTTTCTTTTCTGATATTGACAGAGGTAGTTTGACGGATTAACTACCCATGCAGTCCTATGTTTTTGCACAAATCAGTGTCTTCTCACTCTCTATTCATTAACTTTCATTGTGATAATCAAGAAACTCGTTTAATGACAGTTATGTAACTGATCCTTATTCAATCCATTCCATGTAAAAACGTGTGGCTCTGTAACTACCCATTAGAGCATGATTTACTCTGCACAAACATCAGTCTTTTCAGTTTTCTTTTTTTTTTTTTTAATTTTTACTCCCTTAATCTTTTAAATTCTATTTAATTATAAAACGTGTGGTTTTTCAGTTATACACAGTAACATGCTCCACACTGTGGATAACCAGTATTGACACTGTGGATAACCAGTGTGCACACTATGGATAACCAGTTAAATACAGCTGGATAACCAGTGTTGACACTATGGAAAAGCATTTTTCATAAAGAATAAAAGCAAAGTAAAAATTCAATAAGCATTACAAACCGTTTGGATAATCAGTACTAACACATTGGGCAAGTTTTGATAACGATTTTGGATAACCAGTGCAAACCAGTTTGAAAGTCATTAGAAAATGACTGGATAACCATTATTAACCTGTTGGATAATCAGTGTTGACAACGTGGACTATCATTGTTTTCCTTTTATATTTTTCTTGGATATCCTTGTCCGTATTTTTTACACTGGTTATCCAGCTGCCCCTCTTTCATTTTTTGTTCTCCATCATTCGTCAAACTACCCCTTATTCAATTAAATACTATTTATGAAATTTTTCATGTTCGGCATGGGGGCGGCACAGCCGCGAAAGTCGGCGCAGCCGGGTCGTTTAGTACATCACGGGGGGATATATATTAGTAATTTGTGTCCCCTCTTAACGCAATAACACACTCTCCTTACACACACACTCTCCTTACACACACATGAAAAAAGGATTACCTTAGCTACATTGGCGTGTTTGGCGGGGCGGCGCGGCTGGGGCAGGTTGGTGACCAGCGATTCCGGTAGCCGCAGGAGTCGTTTAGTTTATCATGGGAGGCGAAGCCCCCCAATTAACATGTCGTTTGCTTATTCAATTAACATGCCCAGGTTGGATAGCCATTTTCTTATGGATATTTTCTTTTGGTACGTCTTTTTGGAAGCCCTGTCTGAATCCTTTTTTTGTTATGTCCACATGGTGGATAGGTTACATATGGATAAGCAATATTGAGGTTTTAAATAACAAGTATTAACTCATGGATAATCAGGTTAAAGACTGTACTTGCATTTTTTTGACTGGATAATCACTATAAAACATTCGGATAATCAGGTGTAACAAGTTGGATAACTAGTACAAAGATCCTGGATAACCATTACAAACGGTTGGATATTGTTGCACATTGGTTAGATAACCAGTACAAAAGTCTTGGATAATCAATACAGAGCATTGGATAATCAGCAAACAAATATTGGATAAGCAGTATAACATCATATGATAGGCAATTTAATAAAGAAGTAGAAAGACCAAGAAATTGGGACACTCAGTTTTTGTTGTTTGAGAATTTACAGAAATATATGGACAACCAAAATACACTGTCTGGATATTTTCTTATGGATATTTTCTTTTGTTATGCCTTTTGGAAGCCCTGCCTGAATCCTTATTTTTTTATGTCCACATGGTGGATAGGCATTGGTTACATATGGATAAGTAGTATTGAGGTTTTGGATAACAAGTATAAACTCATGGATAATCAGGTTAAAGACTGTACTTGCATTTTTTTGACTGGATAATCACTATAAAACATTCGGATAATCAGGTGTAACAAGTTGGATAACTAGTACAAAGATCCTGGATAACCATTAGAAACGGTTGGATAATAAACTAGGATGGTCAGTACACAGCTGTTGGATATCAAACACTTTAGGATCAGCAGTCAATCAATTATACAAGAGAACATGATGACAGTTCACTTAACCCATCCCTCAATTTTTCTGTCATTGTAGTAAGATTTGCTGCTCAAGTCAACATGATCTGGAATTTCTTTTTGTTCTTCTTCAGCAGTATTTGTATAGAACTGGTGCATTGCTTCGAGGATTTTGTCCTTATTTTTGTTGACTGGGTGCATTAGGATTTTTATCATGTATTTCCACCGGTACTCTTTGATGTTTCTTGTGTTGAAATCCAAAGCAGTACCATCCTCGTACTCACCACCATCATACCGCTCTATGTGGTGCATTGTGTATATTCCACAATCTTCCGCATTCGGCATTTTGTCTTTATGTGATGGTAGTGTAACCTCTGTGAAGGTGTATTGAGTACTGTCCAGTTCTATGTGTGGAAACACGCATGCAACATAGCTTTTGAAGAACTGAAACTGTGATGCCATGAAATCCAGGGATTAGCAAAATGCAATGGATAATTCTTAAAGTATAATCATTTTGTATCTTTTTTTCACTCACAAGTAGATCTTTCATTGGTTTGTAGTAGTCCAGATCTTTTGCATGAATATTGTTGAGGACAAGCACTTTCTTTTCTTCAACCAGCAACACATACAAGAAGTAATGGTCTTGGTAGTGTACTGGGAAGTAGATATGATATTTCACATTGAAGGGGGAAATCATATGAAAGTTTTTTAACAGCCAGTTTTAGAAAGAGTAAAGGAGGTGAAAGATGTTGCTTACAACTTTTGCCACTAACAGGGATGCTACAGTAAGGTCTTGTTCTTCTAGTTCAAGACCCAACCTCTCATAGAATGTGAACTCGATTTCCTCATTGTTACTGCCCTGTTGATAGTAGCGACTGATTGTATCCTGCGTTATTGTTTGAGATGGTTGGAAAATAATACAATGATCAGTACAATGGTTGGAAAATGCAGTAGAAAACAATGATCGGAATCAAGCACATACAAGGTCAACCAAAAGTACCCTAGATGACACACAAGAAGGAATGGTTAACCAGTTCAAATCTTGTGAATAAGTAGTACAGAACAGATGGATAACCAGCAAATGAATCATGGACAAGCCACCACATAGAAGGGAGACGAAAACAATCCCATAGCGAAATGCATAACGAGAAGGCTTGGATAACCAGTTCAACTCTGGTGGACAAGCATTAGTAACAAAATAGATAATAAGTATAAACATATGGATAAACAACTTGCAGACATGTGACAAGTATTTTACCAGGGCAGGATAAACAATAAGGGTTTAGTTGACTTACAAATGACGAAACACCAAAGAATATCCGTCTTGGGCGTCACTCTTAGCTTCTTCTTTGTTTAGGATGACAGCCCAAGCATCTATGATGCTGTTTTCTATCCATGTCCCTTCCCTCATGGAATAGAATGTTGTCCTGTCTGCCCAAACTATTTTTCCAAATTCAAACAAGAGTTTCCTGCATAGAAAAAGTAGTCAAATAGACAAATAGCTGGAAAACTGGTAAGTTTTTTATCTTACGGGTAAGGATGGTGACTTTTACCCTAATTTAACTATTTCTTCTTCTCTTTTTAAGAGAGCGAAGTCTATCAATAGGGCTTCTTCTTGGGTCATTTTCTTCTTCTCCTCTGTCCACTGTATAAATTTTTTCTTGTTCTTCTTCTGGAGCATGAACGGCGACCTGAACCGTTCGGGCAACCGGCGGACTCTGGCTGGATTTCTTCTCTTAGGTTTTTCATTGAGGATCCTAGGACAAAACAAAAGAGAGTTAGTATGTAAATTCATCTTTCTATTTTGTAGTGGGGAGTCACAGTGGATCAAACTTACTTTTCCACTGTCTTTGTTAACTTTTCATCAAGTTCATCAGCTTCCTTTGAGATTGCAGGTGGTGGCGCGGTACACTCATTTTTCTCCAGCATCAGTAGACCACCCGTGGTAGAAGCAATATTCCAATCGGGTGGAATTATGCTTATAGGGACTGCTTCAACCACCTTTGAGTTCTTCACAACTTCTTCTGAAGCAGCGGCAATCATCTCTAGTTTTTTGGTATCACTTAATGATTTTGAAGCTGGTGCACTGGCCCTTCTTATGATTTCATCGCTGGAAGGAGTGGGATTCTTTGTTTCGTCGAGTGCAGATGGTACTGGATATTCTTCTGCTTCTATAGTCTCATCAACATCTTTATCCAAATCAACACTTCCTATGATATCTTCCTCGGTGTTCTTCTCCTGGCTTGTCTCGTAACTGTCTTCCTGACTGGAGAAGATACCCAAGTTAAAGTGTGGGATAGTTGGGTCTTTCAATACTTTCCTTTTCCTGGTACCAGTGCTTCTCGACCTTCTGGTATAGGTGGATGTCACAACTGAATCCCGGCCGGTGGAATCTTGATGGGATCTCTTCTTTTCTGTTGTTGAGATATTCGTTCCATGTGCTGCAGTACAAAGTTGGAATGTTGGATAATCAGTACAAACATACATATATATTGGACACATTGGATAACCAGTTCAAACGAAGTGGATAATCAGTTCAAACAGGCCGGATAATCGGCAGGAACACAATGGATAACCATTTAAAGGAAAAAAAGGGGTTGGATAAGCAGTACAAATTAGTTGGATGACAAGTACAATCACATCGGACAAGTATTTTTTTCATTAAAAAAAAGTTGTTGGATAACGAGTACGAACGAGGTGGACATTGGTTTTTATTTTTTTATTTTTTTATAAGTGGTAAGAAATGTATGACAAAAATATTCATTACCTTGTGGTTGAGTTTGTTGTTCATCAACAACCACTTCTTTTGAAGTAGGCACGGATTTCCCCACTGGAAGAGAATCATCATCATTTGTCTGGCTCAATTGCTCCAGTCTCTGTGCTTTGTCAATTTCAATGTCTTGAAAATTTGTGGGATTAATTGGAGCTTGTACAGTGTTGTCACAAGTTTGTTGGTGTTGTTGTTGTTATTGGTCAGCTACTTGTCGCTGCAGCTGTTCCATTATTGTTGCAAACCTGCTTTCAGCGGCCTTCCATGCCATGTCGCACAATTCACAAATCTGTGCATCCTGGAGGTCCTGCTGGTCTTGCTGCTACTCTTGTTGGTGTTGCATTGTCCCTGGAGGCTGAGGCAGCTTTCTACTCATTGACACCATTGCATCTGTTAGGATCTTGATTGTTTGCTTTGCTTGTTCATCTGGTTTGATTTTTAACTCCATTTCCTTTTCACGTATGTCTAAAACAGTTTTGCTCATCGTGATAATCAATTGGTAGAACTTTTCATAAAGAGCAGCAAGGTCCTGCAAAAGTGAATGTAGTTAGTGGAATGTGGAGATGCTAGGTTGGATACGTAGGTGTAATCTGAAAAAAATGGTAGAACACTACATAGACTTGTTGTGTGTTGGGGTTGGCCTGTGTATCCTCCTTCTGTGATTCCCCCTCTGGGTGTTCGTCTCGGGATGCTACTGAGGACAGTTTCTTGAGACGTTCAAGTGTCTGGACATCTATGAAATTGCTTCCCTGAAGTCTTAATCTATCGTCCAGCATCTTTTGATCCCAACATTTGATCACAGGGAATGACCTCGGATGTGCTCTCTCATACTCACACCTGTCAAGGTAGCACAACTAACAAAAAAAAAAAGAAAAAAAGTTAGTGTTAATGATATCAGTACAAGCAAATTGGATAAACATTGCAGGCAATATGGATAAATAGTAAAATTTGTACGGATATGGTAAGTACAAGAAAAAAAGTGATCGGTCCGGTGCATGGTTTCCCATCGTGGTGACTTTTGCATCCTTTGACCAGTGCATCAATGACATATTGACACCAATTGTATTATGTCACCTCATTCATGTTCACAAGGGATTTCAGGATGTTCATTGTGATTCTGGAGGTGGTGTTTCCATGTAAGAATGTGCTCACAACAAAGACCAGGAAATCTCGTTTGAAGTCATCACCAAAATCTTTTCGACTAGCAATTAAATGTGCCGCCGTGGATCTCGTTGGCAGGAATTTATTATTGTATCCCATTCTTTTCTTGAATGCATCCACCATCTCTGCGTGGTCCGTTATAGCGAGATCGTTTTGTTTGAATTCTTGCACTGGTTTGGGCCCACGAGAAAGATCAAGTACAGCAACAACATCTTCCTGTTTGATATCCAGTACATTGTTTCCATTCAATGGGACTTGTCTCGCACCGGTCTGGAAATTGTTTGCCAGAAAACTACATAATGCTGTTGGAATATTTTTTATTTTGAGATCCAGCAAGGCGCCAAATCCCATATCTCTGATAGCCTGCCTTTGTAGTTGGCAATAATCTACCACATCTGGCTCTTCTGTAAGATCTGTTGGTTTATTGATCTCAGTGATGAGTTGGAAGAGATGGTTTGGTGTCATCCTGGTCTCAAATTTCTTGACAGAATCTTCAGAACTGATTGGCTGTGGATCTTGACCAATGATCAGTTTGTTGTCAGGTTTTGTTCTTTTCTTTTTGGGCTTCTTATCATCAGCGGAGTCATTGTCATCAGCAACCACAAGTTGCTTTGGATTTCCTGTCGGCGTGCTCTTCTTTCTCTTTGGTTTCCTCCACAAGTTGTGGGGCCTTGGACTTTGACCAGGGGACTGTTCTTCTTGGGTTGATATTTATTTTTTAAATATTGTCAGTGTTCCTTCAGGGAGCTCCATTATCTCTGCTTCAGGATCCGGTGATCTGTTTGGGTTACAGTTAAGGTCGTGGCTTGCGCTGATCCGTCCGTGCCTATGTTTTGTTCTAGCCTCCTTTAGGGCACTATTGGCATTGGACAATCACTAAGAAGTCAGTGGACAAAATAGCAAGATATGAAAAGGAGCAGTATTCAAAAAAGGAGTAACTAGTATGAAATGAGTGGATAACAAGCAAATAATGTATGGACATGTAGCCACATAAAAGCACATCTAAAAAAAACAATGGATAACCAGTTTACACCCTGCGATAACCAGTATAAAATGGGTGGATAACCAGTTCAGTTTTTCCATGCCACATAGAATCAAATGTAAAAAAAGCATAGATAACCAGTTTACAACTTGTGGATAACCAGTTTACAACTTGTGGATAACCAGTTTACACCTTCTGGATAATCATTTTACAACTTGTGGATAACCAGTTTATAACTTATGGATCACCAGTATGAAATGGGTGGATAACTAGCAAATAATGTATGGACATGTAGCCACATAAAAGCACATCTAAAAAAAACAATGGATAACCAGTTTACACCATGCGGATAACCAGTATAAAATGGGTGGATAACCACAAACAAAGTTTGGACAAGCACCCCATAGCACACACGCAGGAAAACTTGGATAACCAGTTCAGATATATAGTGAATAATCAGTAACAAAAAAACACAAAAACATGGATAACCAGTTCAGTTTGTCCATGCCACATAGAATCAAATGTAAAAAAAGCATGGATAACCAGTTTACAACTTGTGGATAACCAGTTTACATCTTCTGGATAACCAGTTTACAACTTGTGGATAACCAGTATGAAATGGGTGGATAACCAGCATGCTATGTGGACAACCAGTATGAAATGGGTGGATAACAGCAATTATGGCATGGACAACCATCACATAGCATACGCAGGAAAAGATGGATAAGCAGTTTAGATCTAGTGGATAAAAATATTGCTGGATAATCAAAAAAATAGGATCAAGGAGTAATATACTTACCAGTGAAGCATGTACAGATGAAGGAGAGCTTGAGATGGCCAGAGGTAGGGTTTCTCGTCGTCGTCTGTGTGTGTGTGTGTTTGTGAAAGAACAGACTAAAAAAATGAAAAAAAAAATGCAGAGAGAAGATGAAGTTATCAAAATCGTCTTCCAGAGGAGGTTTTCCGTCGACTTTCTGTAATTTTGTGGTGGTGGTCAATTTCGTATTTGCCCTAAAATGGAGAGTTTCCGTCGACTGTGTGTTTGTGTGTGTTTGTGCGTGGGGATGAAATGGATGAAAACAACTTTCTGTGTGCATTTAATGTAAAGGTAAAAACAGTTAGGCGCGTGTTTCGCGTGTGTTTGGTGGGGGTTATACGGTACACCCGGGTGCATTGGATACGGACTCCAATTATGTACTCCTAATGCGAAAAAGCGAAAGTAGGAAATAAAAAATTATGCATTAGAATGAATGTGGTATATTGATAATGCTTGAAACAAGCAATACTGCAGCAAAAATTTAGGTAGCAACTTCTGCTCTTTTGAACCGTAAGTAAACTCATCTTATACTTAGACTAGAATTGTTTTTCTGTTTAATTAGTGAAGTTGGTTTGATCTAAAATCGTTCATATAATAGAGTTTTTACTCTTCTGCCATAACTAGATTTAGTAATAAAATTTGATTATCGTTTGGAAAAAGAAAAAAAACCACCATACGTTTAAAATCATCACAATTTTAGGTCGCCATCATTATTTAAACATGTCAGTTAATCATAGGTACTTCATCTCATAAATATGCATAGTGTATACGTTCTAAAATAATTTACTGATTCATGTAATAATAATAAGTAGTATGATAGGATAAGATCGAATCACGCAATTTATTTAGCTTTTTTATACTTTGAAAATTTTTTTCCAAAAACCTCTTCCTTTTCAATCTTCCTCGAGCCTTCTTCAAAGGATATCCTTTTCCTTTCCTTCCCTTTCCTTTCCCTTTCCTCAAAATTCAAATCTTAGCCTACCTAATTTTCCTAATTGCGGTATATAAATATTTTTTTTTCGTCATTTAGAAAGCAGCGAAGACGGAAGCCATCACAACAAGGAAAGAAGCAAGCGCGCCAGAGACAAAGAGCTTTGAACTCGCACTCTTTGTTGATTTAGCATCAGCGGCATCATCTGCGGTTGGTGCATCAGCAGAGGGGGCATCAGACGCATCGGCAGCAGGAGCGGGTGCATCGGCCGGGGTCGGGGCGGGCGAATCCGCGGTGGGAGCGTCTGCCGCTTCATCCGGGGACGGAGCCTCCGCGCTTGGTTCCGGAGCTGGCACTGCCTTAGGTTTGCTAGGCGCGGGCGCGTGTGCCGGGGGTGGAGTAAACGTGTATTCCTCCACTCCGGGAGTCAAGATGTGTCCCGACACGCTTAGAATCGACAGGTTGAAAGGCTGCGTCAGCACGGATCCCAAGAGTGTGACGTCGCGTGGGGACCCGTGCACGGCGGACGCGAACACGATGGTGCCCTGGCTGTTTTTGGTGACGTTCAAGAAACCCTGTTGGTATATCGCGGACCCAGTCGCTTGGAACATAGTCGTCATGATGGTTGGCTTGCCCTTCAATTTTTCGAGCTTCAAGAGATCGTAGTAATCCAATATGACGTGGGTCTTAAGGATAGTCTTTAACACATCTGGCGGCTTCCCGGCCAAGTCACCAATCCTGTCATTCGGGATGGCAAGAACGGTGACCGTGTTCCGGGTGCCCATTTCCTTAGCAACGCCACTCTGGGTGATCAAATCACTGAAGTTGCTGAAATTGGGATCTCTTTCCAGGAGCTTTGTGATGTTGTATGCTGCTGTTGTGGACACAAAAGCCAACAACAAAATGAAGGTGATAGGGAGTTTGGTAGACATGCCCATTTTTTTTCACAAAACAAATATATATTGCACAAAATGGGGTTCTCTATTTTACTCCCTGCAAACAGATGATTAATTATGCACCTGATTAATTAAACATGTTGTTTGAATCATGTCTCTAGTTGCTTTATATAGTAAGTTTGTCGGGAGATATGTATGGATGGGTAAGAGTAAATCTCTCTTTCCCACACAATGATATTGTTATTTGAGGTGAAAATGTTGAGAATTTGGGATGACAAGCAAAATCCTAGATGTTTGAAATGTCACCTTATTTTTCGTCATGCAAAATCAATCCACTGCTGATTTATAGCTCTCTCTCTCTCTTCCTTCAATGGCTTGGTGGTTCTTGAAATACTACGTCCACTAGAATCATATTCCTAAAATTAAATGGCCAATTCGTATACATCAACTTCTCAACAATAAAATCAGAACGCGCTGGATATCAATTGTGACCTAAAACTACTTAGATCGGTTTGGATCTTTTTTCACATTTTTTTTTTGAATTTTCAATAATATATTTCTTATCTCAACATACCTCTTTACATGTTTAATCCCATCTTATACTCCCAACACAAAAAACACAAATTGAAAACATAAATCATAAAATTTTGTATCGGGGACTTTTAAGTAGTCACTATTCATATGTATATTATAACTAGGTTCAGTTCTAGCTCTAGCATAAAACTTGTGAAACTAGGGCTTGAGGCCCCAACTTTGGTGGGCATTTACTATTTATTTAGTATTTAAAATATAAAGATTAAATTAATTGAAAAGATGGAATAATAAAAATATGTATTAATTCTTTAATTTATGCTCCAATTTTTTATAGCTTTGTTCCTGATATATATATATATATATATATATATATATTTTGAACAATGTTTCTAACATAAAATGATGAAAAATCCTAAAATTCATGTCCTAAAAAATTATCTCACTTAATCGATTCACTTTTATATTGAATCTTTTTAACCACTAATTTCATTACTATCTCACTGCACCAATTAATTGGATGATTTCCCACACTATTGTGATTAATTCTTTTGTTATATTTTTTCCCATATTTTTTTCCCAATTGATGGGAGTCAACTTACACGTATGTTAGCAATACATTACTTGGCTCTTTCTACTTGTGTTATAGTTTAATTTAGCAAGAATTATATATTTCTCGTGTATATTTCTGACTTTTGGTAATCAAGGGACTCAATTAAAAAATTCAGTAAAAAAGTGGGCAAAAAGGTGAAATCTAGGGCAGAATTCAAAATGCCCATTTGGACTGATGGTGCAAAGTTGATGGTGGAAGGAACCCGGCAGTAGCAGCAGCAGCGGGAAGAAGAAAATCAACCAAAACCCTCAAGGCTAAGGAAGGAAGCATGGAGATGAAGTGATGTTGCTGACTTCAAAGGTAGATGGTGAACAGGTTGATTAATCAAAGAAAAAAACTCTGTGAAGTTAATTAGAAGACAAGGAGGATGGGAAAGTATGGCTCTTCCCTAAATCAAGAAAATCAATCTTGACTCCTTTAATAAAGTGAAGATCAACCAAGGTAAGTAAACTTGACTCCCCCTAGAAGATTAGTAGCAGCAAGGTATTGAGTGAAAAAAGGAGAAATTAGAGTTAGCTAAATTTTTAGTTAGGTAAAGAAAATTGAGCTTCGACAGGAAATAGAATTAGGGGTGGCACTTGATGAAGTGAGAAGTCGACTTTTCAGAAGTATGCAGAACTGAACCACACTCCCTAACTCTGATTATTCCCTATTTTCTCTCCTTTCTGGTTGTAATCATATTAGAGTCTCAGTACTTCATTCCTTTTTATTTAAGATTCTCAATATGTGTAGCTAAACTATTTTCTATGGTCTAATCCCTGTACTTTATACAAGTATGTTTTGATTTACCTTTCGAATGATATTTGTATACCTAGTCTTAGAGTTTGAATTAACCTTTTAGTTGAATTGGCCACTTAACTAATTCTGCATGCATGTTAGGAGAATCCCTGACGGGTAAACTTAACTTAGAATGTCTAAGATTAACCGATCACGAGGGATTAATAACTCAAGATTTCAAACAACAATGGAAGTTATTTGTTTGGCACGAGACGATCATAAGGGCTTAGGATATTAATAACTTGGTAGTATTCTAGAATCAACAATGGAAGTTAGTGGGTTTGTTGCTACTAAAACTCTGTCTAGATTAATCGGAAGTGACCTTACGGTGTATTTGTGTCTGATCGAACACAGTTTCATACCACAAAGAGATCAATTGAATGAAAGCATATACGTATAAAGAAAGCATCCAACATGTATGTTTTAAATGCCTGAAAGTGAGGTAGGTTTGGTCTAACTTTTTGTCTTTGTGTGGCATTTTCTTACCTTTTAATGCACGGACAGAGAATAGGTGGAACTTTTTTTTCAACTACAACTCCTTTAGATACCGGAATATTCAACAATTTTATCTATTTTAATGGTAGAACATCTATGAAGTCAGAGGCAAGAAGCAACTTAAAGGAGGTGACACGTAGAGTTTTCTTTTGGGAAAGCCATGATTTTGAAGTTCTTATATAAACCGATTCTTCTGCCAATCATATAAATTATGTAATAGTTCTCCAGGGCCTCCACCAACCTGGCTCAAGGTACGAGAGCTCCACATACCTAAGGATAGTATGTTTTTTTTTTCAATGTCCCAAATAGTACGAACTCTGATTCCACGGTTTGGGCTAAACTATGAGGAGAATTTGCTAATATGTTCTCAAGACTTTAACCAATATTAATTAATTGTTCATACTGTAATTGTAGTAACATTTTATTTTCCTTCATACAAAAAATCTATAACTACATATATTACATTAAACCAAAACGAATTTCTAAAACAAATTACACATGCCAACACCATTTTAACCCATTTCCTGCCCAAAATATTTTTGTGTAATGACATGAAAATCCCTTAATTGATATATCAAAAAATTATTTGGAAATTGCAAATTATTTAAATCTTTATGAAATCCTAAAATTAAATTATGTGTTAATACTAAAAATAATGTACACTAGTTATATTAATATTAATATAAATCCAATGAAATTATCTATTAAACATGTCGGTCACTAATCAAATCATGATTGATCTCAAATAATGAGAATATTAATGTCACAACAATCACACAACACCAAAATATATATATATATATATATATATATATCCTACTAAACCAAAACCAATATCTAGAGCAAATGGCAGTTGTCACAACATGGTTCAAAATTCCCTCCCAAAGGTGTTACCAAAACTGCTGTGACCGAAAAGAAAATTGGTGACGTAAATCGGAGTTGGGAATTAAGGTTAATACACTGGTCTCCCCCTCCGTTAGATTGGTGGAAAATGAATACGGATGGAGTTTTAACCGAGATTCTGGAATGGCTAGTGTAGGAGGAGCAGTACGAGATTGTTATGGCCATTGGTTGGAGGGATTTACCATGAATATTGGATTCTGTACTACTACAGGAGCCGAATTGTGGGGATTATTTCATGGTTTGTCACTTGCATGGGAGAAGGGTGCAGAAAAGTGATTGCTGAAGTTGATAGCTCAAGCATTATTTCCATGGTACTAAGCATGAAAGAGATTGCTGGCCTTAATGCTGGTATCGTTTATGGAATTCGTGATTTGCTTAAGAGAGAATGGGTTGTGGAGCTTAAATATGTGTTTCAGGAGGCGAATTTCGTGGCTGATTATATGGCTTCATTAGCAGCTCAAGGACCGGGTGGACTACAGAGATTTGATGACTCGCCGTCAGGAGTCAGATCGTGGTTGAAGCATGATATAATAGGTGTTGCATATCCTAGAAATGTGCTAAGTTGAAACTAGGCTTTTTGTTTCTCTTTCTGTAACCAAAAAAAAAAAAAAAAAAAAATCCCTCCCAAATATGTAGCCAATCAAACTACGCCATTTAATATATTACTTATCGTCTAAAATATTTAACACAAAATCGGATGATGATCATAAAATAAGGGTCCTAACTTATTGTCAAAAATAGGATAACTTATGCTACATTAGCACATATCCCTTTTACCCTATTAAAGCAGAATACAGAATGTTGATGTGGCAACTTCTTATTAAAACTTTTTGGCTCCAAATGCACCATATTGCATTGACCATTCTGCCACGCGTCATCCCCTTTTTAAAAGAAAAAAAAAATCTTATCCCGAGAAATAAAGCTACTTTACAAAAATAACTATACAATTTTAACTCCTAACATTTATCATTTATCAATCAAATTAAAATAACATTTAAATTTGTCTATAAACTTATCCCTTTTATTACTCCACATTCTTTTGTATGATTTCTACATCGTTGTACTTTTTAATATTTTTTTGCTTTGGCAGATGATTTTTTATTTTTATTTTTATTTTTGACTAAAAAAAGGAAAAAAAAAAACCAAATGTGTAGCTATTTTATTTTTTCCAAATCAAGAATTTATTTATCTATTAACAAAAAATTAAAGTAGAGGGGTGCCCGGGCATCTGTCTGGGCCAAACATCTAGTTTATATTAAGACTAGTGAAAATAAGGGTCCTAACTTATTGTCAAAAATAGGATAACTTATGCTACATTAACACATATCCCTTTTACCCTATTAAAGCAGAAGACATGAAGCTTATGTGGCAACTAAGTATGCATCTGTTTTGGCTCCAATGCACCATATTTCATATTTCAGGAGTCTTTTTGCCACGTGTAAGTCTCTTTTAATTAGAAGTTATATAATTTTTTTTAAAAAAAAAAACACATGTTTTACTACAAATAAGGATCAGTTACATTTCAAACGAATGGATATATTAATTCAAATCCAAATGTCCAATCGTATAGTTTTGCAGGCTTAATATAAACAAAAAATAAAAATACCTAAATCCAGCAATTAAGAATAATGCCTTATAAACTAATTATTTATTATTCCCTTATAACCTCAGATTTATAGGTATATTTTTTTAAGCCCCAAATCATAGCATAAATGATATGTACGCCAAATTAATTCCTCAAAAAATAGTAATTCAATTAGATTTTAATAAAATAGTAATTTAGAAGGGGCGCCCGGGCATCTGCCTGGGCCAAACATCTAGTTTATATTAAGACTAGTGATATATGCAGGGAAAAAATTACAAGGAATGATCTGTCAATCATTTAAACTATGCTCTAACCTTAAATTCTTAACTCAGGATAAAAAAGTTTTAAAATGAATGGTTTAGGATCATTCCTTGTTATTTTCATTTGTATTGTTTTCCCTATACAAATTATTATTCTTAAAAAAATCATTATCCAGGTTGATGCGGATTTGTACAGCATATGCTAATTTTTTTTTTTCGCGCTGACTTTTTTTCCCCTAACGGTAGAGGTATTACAAAATTGGATTTATAACTCAACCATTTTGAAATTTCACGGATTGATCAATGTGATTTTTTTTTTTGTTTTTTTTTTTTTGGGCTAACTTTCGAGGAGGTAACTGGGTTTTGTTTTTGACCTGTTTAAATTTAAAATGATGATTGTGTGCCAAATTGGTTGCTTCGAGTGTGGTGACCAAGAAATTTAAACTGGTCTCAAATCTTTCACACGTGTAATTTCGTGATTTAAAAATTTAACAACTACGATGACATTTTGGCTTTACTAATCTTTTGCTATCTTTTTTTTTAAAAAAAAAAAATCATGATCATTTTACTTTGTTTAAATCTCTAAAATTTAAATAATTGAACGAACCAGATAATAGTTACTACCTTATCAGCAAAAATCTTTATATCTGATGTCATTTTCCGAATGTCATTTTTCTCACTGGATTTAAATGAATTGTTGCTTGATTCATTTGTTTTCAGCAAAAGTTCAATCAGAATTTGGTGCGAGAGCAGTTGGATCGACTAAATAGTACTGCCCCTCAGGGCAGGGATATTTCGACACAAACAGATGTTAATACATACACAGCACGAAATGAAAAAATTGTCATAAAAAGTGTATCTCAATGAAGTCAGCTATGATGTTGAAGTATAGCCTGATTTAGCTTTCTTCAAACATGAATATCGTACTGGCAGTACTTCAAGTTCATAGCCAAATCGTGATGATTTTCTTTGTATCAGGATTCAGGGTGCAATTTTTGCCCCCTGCTATTCAGTATTTAACCAAAAAGCAGCAACCTGTTCTTGTCCGAGAACCGCAACTATAAGTTACCCCTGTACAAAACCTTGAACCCCACCAAGCTGCTGCTTCATCTGGTTAAAGAAGTCTTACCAGTATCTATACCCTAGCAAACCGCAACTATTCATCATCCCCTTCCGCAGAGAAATCTGGCTCTTCAGGCTTCTGCAACTTAGGCAATTGAACATCCTTCAACCGCTGAGCTCCTCTTCTTGTGTTTGCAGCGAATCTTGAAGCAAGTATAGTAACTCCCAGGTTAGTGGAGAAAGAATTTGGTTGTGCATTATTGTCTTCTTCCACTTGTTGATTCTCATCTACTAAATGTTCATCCTGAGCATAGTAATATGACTCTTTCATGCTCAAGCTATTCACCAGCATTCGTTTCTTGTGTCTGCGCCAAGCAGCCTGTATGAAGCAGGTTGCCCAGGTCCTCCAGTGGTAAGAGTAGTATCTAAATGTGTGCTGTAACTTCTTACTGTGAAGACGTCTGAACTGATTCGCCACAAACTTGAGATCTTCAGCTCGTAAGGCGAATGCTTCTACTTCAGTGAGTGCTCTGACTGTTCTTGTCGAAGATGGTAAATTTTGTGCCGATTTGGGTAGCAATGCCCAAGCAAGCAGTTCCTCACCACAGAAGTCACCTTGTTTCAAAGTAATAGAGTTGAAAAAACCTGTACGGCCTCCATTTGTTGTTGTGCTCTCCAATGTCCCTCTGATAATGAACAGCATCTCTGTAACAGGATCACCCTCACGTACAATGTAGGTACCTTGAGTACTCAATGATGATGTTAATCGCTCACATATGGCATCTAGCAGCTGATCATCCATCTGTGCAAAGAATTGGACCTGCAATAATCAAAGCTATCAATGAATCCTGCTTAGTTGAAACACACTCACACGGAACAAAGAATAACGGATAATGCATACAACACAGTAATCTTTATCATTTGATGCACAAAATGTAAATCCTATGACAGTGAAATTAAGGTTGAAGTACACCGGAGAAGTCTTCAAGGAAAACCATCCATTTCAGTCTCAAAATAGTAAGTAAATAAAAAATAATTGCCAAAGAAAAATGTCCACATTGGTTCTTTTCCTCCATACATGACTACAGAATATCTAAAACAGACTTTATTAGTCTTTCACGACCAAAGAATAAGAAAAATCTATTCCATGATATGATCATGACTTCCCCCATATTGATCAGGTCAGATACCCTTAATGAGGAGCATCGTAGGTGAAAATTGTAATGGTTTGCCGTGGTTAAACCTTACTTCTTTCCTTTTTAACAAATCTCAACATGCACAGATCCATAAAAAGATGGGAAAGAGTACCCAAAAAAAAAACCCCAGATAACGCCACTGATAAGTATGATATCCACAACAATCAGCAGGACTCTATGAATAAACTCCCAGTAAAAAAATAATAATAAGCACTGTACACCCATCATTAAACAGAGATCCACGCATCAAATGAAAACAGTGTTAGTAATCTGGGAGAAAGAAGAGAACTGCAGTTTCCAAAATGCAGATTTCTATGGATTATCCAAAACAGAAACACAAACTTACTCGTCGGACAAGGTCCAAACATAGGTGACGTTGAATATCTCGACGTAGATCTGTGGGTAAGGCCCGCAATATAGACTCTTCATCAACTCCTCTCGTCGTTAGCCACTTGTATTGAACAAATCTTCTGACACGTTCCTGTAAGCCTTGAGGAAGTTGTCTATGTCTCATCCATTCCTCAGTATCACGTCTCTTCAGCCTCCATTCCTCAAGTCTCACAGTTATAGATTGCAGGTAGGTCTTCATTTCACAAAAACAGAATGTGAATTCTCCAATGAAGGTTGGAAGAGGAATTTTTCAAGGAAAATTAGCACAAATAATCAATTTGATAACCAAAAATATTATTTAACTTTTGTAGTTAAGCTCAGAGAACTAATTTTTTGGGAAAAAAAAAATATTCACGACAAATGCAGAGTATTCCTAAGGAAATCCGTTGTCATGCTGAATGTATAGATTGGTCATCTACAGATTCCAAACACTAACAGTTATCTAAGAAATAGATTTTATGAGATATACCTGCATGTTTCCAATCAAGTGAGCGAACAGAACTAATCCCAAGATTGCAATTAGAATGGCAAACGCAGTCTCCCCAATAAATGTGCTTGTGGTCAATGTCTGGCCATAGGAACTGCAAGTTTCAACAATATTAGTATTCTTCAATTTTGAAAGCTGTCCTCAAAAATCGAGGAAAGCAAGCAGCAAAGCACTAGGATCACATCTTCCTTCCATTTTTCATAGACTATACTGCAAATGATAACATGATGACAGATGTATTAACATGGATAACTTCCCTGCCAAAAGCTATCATACGACCTGTCTACTTTAGTACACCAGGGTATATAGATTTATTTGATTTGAAATAGCAACCTAGAAATCCACATCCAAAGCTTTAACTTTGTGTATTATAACCTAGAGCTACTTCTGTTAACAGTTAAGTTCTCCATCTTATAAGTATAGTTGAGCAGAATAATCTAACACATATGATTGGGGAACTTGGAAGGCATACCTCAAATTTTGCAGACCCCACCATAAGCAGTAGAAATACTTCTGAACAAAGCTTGCTGAGAGGACATTATTAGTTACTGCATTTCCGAAAATCCCATAATTGAAAAATGTGGTATTATCAGGATTGCAGGAGCTAAACACAGCAGTCTTATTCAACCAAGTTCTCCTCTCAGCATGATCCAGGGTCCCACAATCAAGAAAACGTAGTGAGCACCCAATGGAACCAAATTCCTTGTTGCAGGCAGCTTTCAGACAAGTAGCATCACGCTCGAATGATAACAAATACCAGGAAGCCCCCAAGACCTTCAATAAGGCGTAGCTAAATGTTATTAAGTTTTATGCACTTGTGAGCATCAACAAGCATTTTAACACAACAAAGGATAAATCTCAATTCTTGTCAACTTACGTGGCTCGCTAACATATAGAGCAGCAAATTGTATGCAGCCCCAGCCCAAGCTGTTTTTGCAACAACTCCAGTAGCTTTTATAATTTCCGAACTCAAAGGAAAAATCAGATATAGTCTGGGAAGGTACTGGAAAAGTACTATTAGGACAAGGGTGTTGTTGGTATGATCAGCATGAGAGCTTCTAATGGCAGGCATAATGAACCATATAACTATCTGCAAAATCAACACAACTGACGATCAAAATTTCTTGATGATTACCTGATTTTGAGCCAGAAAAATAAGAAAAACCACACAACCCCAACATTGACAACAATCCTCCAACCTTGACAACAGATACGGTCAATATTTCAAGAGCAATCAAAACCATGAAAACCCTGTATACCATGCTAAACATCTCTAGTTTCAGGTCAGTAAACTCACTTAGTTTTCCATTAAACCAAGTTAAATGACCTCTTTAGTACCGAACTCCTACATATCTTATCCTGACTATGATCCATTCGCAATTTCATGGACTTGAACTATCTTCTGGTCATTCCCCGCCGAATTTAAAAATTGATTAAAACTTTCCCTACTTGAAATGATGCATTTTCTTTAATCTACTGATGAAAACATACTCAATTACCAGAAGAAGAAGATAAGCAAAGAGTGTGTACCTGAGGAAGAGGCAGTGCTGCAATCACATCTATGAAGAAATCTGACTTCATATACCTCTCAGATATCAATTTCAGATCCATCACAAGTTCTCCTCTACCAAATACCCTTGAGCTTGGGGACACATAAGCAGTTCTAAACTTAATAAGTACATGTAAGACATAAAACATATCAGCCAAAGTTCTAAAACAGGTAATGGTGATTCCAAGGTTCAAATCCGTAGTCATACATGAGGTTGAGGACTCGTCATCATTTACAACAGAAGGAAGGTAAAAGAAGAGGGGATCAACAAACAGTGCAACCAAGCAAGAACAAAGGAAAATTCTGTTCCATTTGAGAGAAATTTCACTTCCAGGATCAATAATCCATCGCTTTCTTGTCTCATAACTCCCTTCTGGGAAAACCTTATTCTTCCCAAATTGCGGAATAACATTTGCTCTCTTCTTCGTATCATTAAATCCTCCATCAGATTTCATTAAAGGGACTGAACCTCCACCGTTGTTGAACCGCTGAGCTTCGTTCTTCTCCCAGTAAAGCCCAAAATCTTGTTCCCCTTCGTTGTAAAACCTGCTAATCACACCAGATCACATCACCAAAACTATCCCAGAACATTTGGCTTTAAAAAAATTAAAAAAAAATTAAAAAAATAACGAACCCAAATAATATGATTCACAGTACCTCACTTGCTTCTCTTTCCCAAACTCCATTGCTCCCGGAATATGCCACAATCCCGATGAAATCTTGAACACTGCCAAAAGGGTATTTGAGTGATAAGATTCAGGGTACAACAGTGAGTAATTCTCAACTTGCCAACCATTTGAAACTACCACTTCTTCGGATTCTTAACATGGTTGACTTCTCTGAACTTCTATTGATACAGAACAATTTAGGAAATGGTCAGATTCTGAATCATGTAGACAACAACTTAATTAGAGGAAGTAAATATGAACTACAAATAACGCCTTCCAAATGTCTTAACTCTGCCTAGCTGTACTGTTGTTGTGCTAGTATATTTTTTTGTCCTCCATGAAAAGTCTGCTTTTGGCATTTTGTGGGTTTGACTTGGGAAAAACTCTGTCGTGAGAGTTTGACCTTAAAACTTTGTCTAGTTAAAACTTTTGAGTCCCCCATGCTTTGAATAATGCTTTTACCGTGCAGTCATTTTGCCTCCAACTAGGGATGTTCACGGACCGGATTGGTCCGGTTTGCCCTCAATCCGTAACCAAACCGTTACTTACGGATTTTAAAATATTGAAACCGCAATCGGACCGGATTACACTACAAAACCGGACCAATCCAAACCGTATTGAACGGTTTGGTTTGGGCTGTTTGACGGTTTGGGCCTATTATTGAGCTTTTTTTTTCTTGGCCACAAATCGGCCTTTTTATGTTATTGGGCCTTTTGCTGGCCTTTTCTTTGGGTTATTCAGAGGCCAATAATGAGAGTATTATTGGGCCTCTTTTAAATTTAAATCTATGAAAATTAAAGATGTCCAAATGAATAAAATACAATCCAAAAAATCCCACAAAAAAAATCTTCGGTGGTGGAGGCGGAGAAATGGGCGGAGGTGCAGCAGCAGGCAGTGGCGGCTTGGCTTCTTTGCCGTTTGGGAATGAGAAAAAAAAAAGAAATTGGAGGCAGAGGCTTCACTGTTTCAATTTGGGAATGACCGAATGAGAAGAAAAAAAAAACCTAGATGGTTTGGGGAAAAAATGGAAAAAAGAAGGAGGGAGAAGAGGAGGAGGAGGAAGGCTGGGAGGGGCGTCTTCGGTGGTGGAGGTGGAGAAACGGGCGGAGGTGCAGCAGCCGGCAGTGGTGGCTTGGCTTCTTTGCCGTTTGGAAATGAGGAAAAAAAAAAGAAATTGGAGGCGGAGGCTTCACTGCTTCAGTTTGGGAATGACCGAATGAGAAGGAAAAAAAAACCTAGATGGTTAGGGGAAAAATGGAAAAAAAAAAATGTTAGTGGGTGGGGGGACTCGAACACACGACCTCAATCAAATATAAGAATGGGGGGAACAATAATGCCATTGAGACAACTTAAGAATTTCGATATAAGTCATTATCCTCCCCAATAAATACAAAACCATCATATTATATTTAATAATATATATACGGTCCGGTCCGGTTTGACAGACGGTTTGACACTGTCAAACTGTAATCCGGACCGATATGACCGGTTTTCAATTTTCAAATCCACCGGTTTATAAATTCATTTATAATCCGCCCGCTAATCCAAACCAATGACCGGTTTGGGCGGTTTCACCGGATTGAACCAAACCGTGAACACCCCTACCTCCAACAACAAAACTGGTTTTGGATAAAGTCAATCTCGTTCGAATTTCGAAAGGCAGTCTAGGGTCAACAATGTAATTTCCTTTAAATGTCCATACCAATAGTGTAATTGTGTTCGTACTTACTTAAAATGTCACCAGCGAAAACCCTACAAAATCTTTACCAAAATAAAAAGATTTTTTTCCAACTCAAAATAGGAGCATTTAAATATTTTGCTCTCGGATGAGTATGTCTAGGTGGGCATAATTAGGTTAGGGCTTATTGTAGGAAAAGGAACAAAATGATGGGCGGAGCCAAGTAAAATCGAGATGGGGCAATTGTCCCCGTTGAATTTTTCCTCATTACCTTAATTTACACTTAAATTTATTTAAGTTTGTCAATATTCTTCATTTTTGCCTCAGTAAAAATTCAAAAAACAAGGAGCATAAACAAAAACTACAAAATAACGTTGATTTGAAGAAAAAAGTTTTTAATGGAGGGTTGATTTTCATTAGATGTGTAATTTACTATGCGAATTATTTTTGTAGGTCAGAAAGTGATTTATAAACGTTATATTTTTGCCCCCAACTAGTGTTCGGAGCTTGGTTACGTGGTGCATTTTCTTTAATCAAAATCCTGCCAAAACTATAAGTAAATTATAGTTGTAACTAATACAATTACATTAACTAATGGTAAAATTAAAGACTAAGTTTTAATCATCATCAAAGACCAAGAGCGGTTATTAAACTTCCACTTCCACTTGATCACGTCTATCATATCAAAATGGACACAAATTACTCAACAATACCACATACCACAAATTTCTCAACAATCACTTGTGGAGTTGAATTGATCTGTTCTTCATTTTTTTTTTAATACTAGCTCTAAATTCTTTCTCTCGTATGGGATGTTGAATTTGAAGCCAACCCTTGACAAAATTTGATGGCGGCAGCAAACTGTAGGCAGGAACTCAAAAGCATCAAGAATGTAATATATTTATATAATTAAGAAAACAAATTATTACAATTGAGGTTTGTTGAGCTCTATTCGCATTTTGCTCTAATTTTTGTTTTAAAGGATTTTAGAAGCATCGCAAATCTGGAAGCCATTTAGAGAAAATTGTTAAAATTGTGCATGCACATTTTCACATGTCAGGTGATGCTCTTATTAAACTTTATTATTATTTAGCAGGATGTCTTTCAAAGCAATAAATGATTAAAAGTCGATGAGAAATCCTCGAATTTGGATGTCTTAACAATTTTCCACAGTAGTACGTTGAAGACATTGTAATTCCAGTATTTTTTACAATTTTCCTATTCTTTTGAAGTTTACATTTGAGTGACCATACCTAATCACGATTCACAAGTTTCACGGAGTCGATTTTATCTGTATTCAAGTAGTTACAAATAATTTTTGTCATTGAATTTGAAGTATCTACAGCAAGACGATGCGCAATTGAGCAACCCTTCTAATTTTTCAGAAAGTTTAACGCTTTTGTTAACTCTACAGTTATGTTTGGCCGTGGTCAATTTTCAAAAGGTTTTTTAACAGGTAATGTCTCATGCAGCAAGACATCAATGGTTTTTTCATATATTTTTGAACTCTTATCCATTTTGTGATAGTTGAAGGTTTCTGGAGTAGTCAATAATGCATGTAGTTTGTGTTGAAAACTTAAGATTTCTTTCATGTTCGACATATTTTTAGAGAGGAAAAAAAAAAGCATGTGTTCTTTCATATTTCTCTCCATTGCTTTGTTTTAGGTTCAACTAACTGCTGCTGGATCCGTTGCTAATGGAAAATACCAAAGAATCTTCTTATGGTAGGTATTTTAGCATGATTTGGCAAGTAATTATTAAATTAAAGTGAAAAGATTTTAATACACCAAGGTGGTCAATGCTACAATAAAGTTCAATCTTTTTTTATCATGTGATAGCATGGGTGCCATCTTTTGTAGATTATATTTTGAATTACAAAAGCATTTTATTAACTTGTATTTAAGAGTCCCAATTCTGCGTCGATGTTGAAAGATTCTGAGTTTCAATATATAAGCTCCATGGGCTACTCCCCTCATTACTAATTGGTTTTGAGGTGTAACCCCATGGGTTTCTATATAGTATGAAAGCAAGCCCGTCGATATTCGGACTCCAAAAAGCCCAACAGAAAAAAATAGGGTTGAGACGTGAGGTAGTGTCTGGGCTGCAAAAATAAGACAAACCCAACCCAAAAAAATACGTTGGGCTTGTGAGGTAGTATTAAAGAGTTCCAATCCCACATCGATATTGGGAGACTCTGAGTATCAATGTATAAGCTCCATAGGCTACTTCCCCCATTCCCAATTGGTTTTGAGGTGTAATCTCATTGGCTTTTATATATATTCAGAGTCTCCCAACACCGATGTGGGATTGGAACTCTTTAATAATTTTTACATTTTAGCTAATTGCGTGATTAAACAATTCCATGTAGATTATGAGCAATGGTAATCAAGAGTCCAGCACACATTGTAGCAATGAACTAGAGAAGAGTAGAAGGTGTTAGCGTTCATTTTCAAGGAAGCGCAAAATGTCTTCCACCTGACATCAAAATTAACAAAAGACCAAGATTGTATCAGAATATGAAATCTATTATTCTATATGTTATTATTTATTTCTGTTTATGATACTCATGTTTTGTTTTCCTACAAATTTGCTCAGACTTTTTTTCTCTATGCCTTCGTCGTTTTTTTTTTAAAAAAAATAAATTTCAAAGCTCTTTATTAAAATTATTGTGACAAGTATAGTTTCCATACATAAAAAATTCTATAATTTTTTACTCTAATTCTAAAAGAATAGTCTACTTTATGGCGCTATTTTACTTTAATAGCACGGACTATTTTTACAGGCCAAATAAAATACAACACGCTTAAAAGTGATTAAGTGATAATTGATTACAATACCCGTGCGAATGCATGGGTCAAGAATCTAGTAGCATTTACCGTATTCCTAAAACCACCTAGAATATATCTACTTCTCATTTTTTCCATTTGTTTAGAATTATTTTCTTTTTATGTGTCAATTCCTCATTAAAAGTAAAACATTTAAAACTATTTCAACTTTGATACTCACAATTTAAAAAAAAAAGAAATTTAAATCAGAATATATGTTCGTGACATAAAATTTGGACAAACATGGTTAAAGATAATTTTAAGACTATTTAAAACCTCAATCAACGTGTAAATTGTAAAAAAAAATATTAACTTCCAGTCATTATTACAAAATCAAACAACTAATTCAACCTTTGTAGACTCACAATTAACTACAATTCTCTCTAATTCATGAGTAACAAAATTTTTAACTCCATATAACTTCAGTTTGTAGAACTCCTGAAGGTACAACAACGTCTCTCAAAACTGACACGCGATCATCAAACGTGTAGTTTCAGTTTGCAACCAGAGTCACCAATTACCATTAGTTAACTAAGCTACATTGTTAAATTCTAATAGAGCAACTCCATTCACTCCTCTACTCTTTTGCATCTACACCATAATCCCTCTCAAACTTTCAACAAAAAGCAACAAAAAAAAAAACAAAATATTTAACCACACAGCAAACATGCATATGGCACTTGCAACAATTCAGGATATGTAAATTCTCAGAAAACAACTCCATTTCATTTCCCGTACCAGCCTTCCAATTATCTGCAACAAACCAAAAAAAGAAACAACCAAAAAACTTAGCCACATATCAAAAACAAATATGGCACATATAGCAACATATATTCGAGAACCAGGATATATTAACAT